GGACTTCGGCGCACGTGGGCAGGGAAGGGAGAGCTTTAACACTCTGCCGCTAGGAATCAGAGAAGCGCTGTCATCGCGACGTGACGCTCTGCCCGGCTCGGAGTGTTGCGGGAGGAAATAATGGAGGTCGGGAAGCATGAATTATAACGCGCAGCCCCTAGAAATTCTTGCGCAGCCGCCGCCGACCGAAGAAGACCGCCGCGGTGGGCGAGCACGGGAAGAGCCGGATTGGCCGAGGGCGTCCGTCAAGGTCAGCGGAATCGGGCCTGCGATCAACAACCCTCGGGGGTCTCTGCCGGCCCTTCTAATCGCCTCTCAGCACCCGCCGGTGGACGTCCCCCTGCCTGCCCGGAGCCCGCGCAGCGGCCCTCGGGGGGCCTCGCGTCTGCGCCCGCCTTTGTCTGGCCGCTTCTCCGCCGCGGGAACATCATCCTAGACGCCGAGCGTAGGTCGGAAAGGGGTATGCTCCGCTCCATCTCACGACGATGGACTGTAACGGACGCTACGGGCCACCTCAGCCAGTGCAACGCTGCGAATGTGTTATGCGGCTGTGACCCCTCATGAAGGGCACGTGACCGTCAGACGGCATTGGATTGGTGGAAATGGCTCGTACGGTGCCCCGAGGTCCATCGAGAGGTCAGACAGGGTAGAAAAAGGGCAGGCAACGACTACGCACATAACTCGAGAATCGAGGCAGCGCTGGTGGGAAGGAAATTATCGCTAGGCGAGTTGTTATTCCCGCTACTATTCGGCCTTTCTTTTTGAAGTGTGGAGAGGACCTGTACGGGGGTTTTCTTATTTCTGTTCGCTGCCACGCACCAGTTCAAGTTAGGACATTATCAAAATGAAAGAATGTCGCGATGTCACGCTTCTGTAATATATTATCTAAGGCCCAGCGTTGACAGTGAGTCACTGCTTTCCACTGAGTGTTCCTATTTGAACTAGTTCGGGTAACACGACTACTTTTTATGCAGAACGTGTGCGCGGCATGTTCGCTACTGCTGGCATTCAAAATGTATGACTCAGAAAGGGCAGAAGTTAGCATTTTTGCTCAAAATCTGTTTTGATGTCGTATGCCTTGTTTCTATATTAGTTCTGAAGGGATGCACCATTTCCTTGTGTACCAATCGGCCGTAAAGAAACTAAAGATTTGGTACAAAATTAAATAAATAACTGCAAATAGGAACATGTTTGCCAGTGTGAAACAGTAGTCTGTCTTGAACGCGAAAACAGCTTACATTCAGCTCGCATTCAATGTGCAATGGAAGCATATAAGACCCCCAATGAGTGCACCCTATTCGAAAAGAAGTTTCGACATCATATGCGTACGGCTCTGTGGGACTATTTTACAGCCTCCTCCTAAACCGTGATACAGACGTATACCACGGTTTGTTTTATACTGCTTCCACAAACTGCATGTGCAACGTCGGGCTTTCGGAAACATGCGTCCAATTGCTCGTTTCCCAAAGTGATGGTGCGAATGGAGTCAAATATTTTACGTGTTTGATGTCTGTGGCATGCTGTATTGAGGAACTATACCCGAAACCAGCACATTGTTCATAGCGAAGAAAATTATCTATAGCACCATGTGAGCGAAAATCATTTCTCTCAAAAACTCTCATGGGGAATAGAACAGGTAAGTACTATAAATATAAGAAAAAAATATGGTGATTTTTTTTTTTTTTTTAGATTGGCATCAGAAAGGTTTGTACTTCGGCATTCATCGCGTGTTTCCGTGCTAATGTCATGGCGGCATTACTATATGTACTTGATATTTACATGATCTTATATCTTATTCTATAAGAATATTTTATGAAAATTGTACGCTTGTGATTAAAATTTCTCACAAGCTGTCGGGTTAAACATTTCGCAGATATTCCTCACAGTACCGTGTTCGAATTTTCTCTGGCAGAGTTATGTGTAATGCACTTAATCATACGTTCGACAGATTACTTGCACCCAGGCATTGTATCTATAAATTATTATACTTCTCATAATAGTATTTATAAATTATTTTCTACCTAACATAATCACACCCCCGTTGCACACAAATGCGTCGTCCACCTCTTTATGATGCATGATGTTTTGTGCCCAAGATTTGCGGTCTGGGCAAGAAGTATAAGGATTCGGTTGAACTAAACCTTCTGGCAGGCACGTAGCCAGGAGGGAGGGGGGGGGGGGGGGGCATGGGGCCCGGCCCTCCCCCCGAAATCTTCCATTTTGTTGGGACCTCCCCTCCCCCCCTCCCCCTCATACAGCATTTTGTCATGAGCGCCACCCCCCCCCCCCCTCCCCCGAAACAAAATCCTGGCTACATGCCTGCCTTCTGGCATAGGCAATGACGCACTAAAACAACAGAGTGAAATAAAAGCGCAGAGCAGCCTCTCCTCGTTCTATCTAATAGAAACTCGCCCACAATTTCATTTGGCTTTCATATCGAGCACTGAAAGTGTTAAGAAATTGTACACTATCCCTATTGGTATGTGACCCATTTGATCTGCTCATGCGCGCTCAACTACAGTTGCATGTTGAGCGCGCTTCCTAGCGAGCACCGGCATATTGCGGAAAAGCTGGACTGGCAAAGTAGACACTCCAAGCTTGTGTGTCTTTCTTCACCTCAAGGCAGCTGTGCGCTTGGGAGAAGAGCACTCCACCAGGGGAAGATGGTGCTCGCGCACGCTTCGAGTATTTGAAAAGCAAACATGAAACAATACATTTCGGAGTAACAACTGTACCGTTTAGTAAACTATAAAGATATAACTGCAGCTAATGTACAAGTATACCGTGTGTTTATAAAATGCCGGCTAAAGCGCCGTTCACACATATGCAACCGAGTAAGACCGAGAGAGACCACACCAGTTCTTAAGCCTCTTGCGAAGTCTTAGGACCGGATGCGCTGCAGCAGAGCTGGTCCTGAGACGTCGCAAGAGACTTAAGGCGCGTTTACACTCTTGCAACCGAGCACGACCGAGAAAGACTTCTTGGGACCGGATGCACTGAGCGGAGCTGGTCCTAAGAGATCGCAAGAGGCTTAAAAACCGGTTTGGTCTCTCTCGGTCGCACTCGGTTGCAAGAGTGTGAACGGGCCTTTAAAGGCCGACGACCAGACTCGACATTCTGCAAGGCAGAAGATCCTCCTCGCCATAAAAGAGGAGGAAAAGAGAACGGTGGACAGGTAGAAGGAGGAAGAGGAGGAAGCAAGGGAAAAGTGGAAAGCGCGAACTGGTCGTCGGCCTTTAAGGTCCGTTCACACTCTAGCAACCGAGTACGACCGAGAAAGACCAGACCGGTTTTTAAGCCTCTTGCGACCTCTTAGGACCAGCTCCGCTGCACCGCATCCGGTCTTAAGAAGTCGCAAGAAGCTTAAAAACCGATCTGGTCCCTCTCAGTCGTACTCGGTTGCAAAAGTGTGGACGGACCTTTAAAAACCGGTCTGCTCTCTCTCGCTCTTACTCGGTGGCGTATGTGTGAATGGCGCTGAAGATGTTAGCGTAAGTACTGCGCGCCACGCAGAAATGAGAACGATTGGTATCGGGTTCGTCACAGCCGTGAGGCCTATTTTTTAGCTTAAGGTTAACAAACGAGCAAAAAAAAAATATTAAAAAAGACAGAATGACGAGTCTAGTCGAGTGATTTTAACAACATCCACTTTAAGCCCAAGCAAAGTGTTTTTTTTTTTTTGTTTTGTTTTTTTGCAATTAGCGGCAACCCTGGGCGTCCCCCGCTCACTCATCCCCCTAGCGTTGCTCGGAGCTTTCGCTCTTTCACGTGCTTCTGCTACGCTTCCGCCCTGTTCGTTTCGGCGTCAGGCTCGCGCTTGAGTTTCATGTTTCATCGCACGCGTCGGAGGCTCTCCCGGCGATCCTCCGAAAGTCGTATCAGCACTCATGTCGCCTCAACACTCCAATGGAAGCGCGGCGACATCTTCTTCGTCATGGACGCTCCTTCGTCGTTCCACATATCTCACACGCGAGGGTGACATACAGAAATATATATGTACAAAAACCAGTTAGCCATACACTCTTAAAGGATGATAAAATATAAAGTAGAGAAGTAAAAGCTTGATAACTATGTTTGTAAGGAAGATCGAGCGGAGGAAAACTGAAGTGCCGAAGCAGACGATGCGATTTGTCGTGGGACAGTAAGCATTGCCAATGGCAAAAGTGCGAATGGAAATTGCAGCTGCAACATACGCGTATACCATTCGATACAGGTAAGTTTTTATAAATTTATTCACGTTTGGGTATCATATTTATTTTCTTTTAATTCTAAAAAGATAGTGAACTAAATTAATATCAAAATGTTTTAACATTGTGAATCTAAAAAAAGAAAAAAAGGTCATATAAACTGCGATTCTTCAGCGAAGAATAAACTCCGAAAAACACCCTCCGAGTTTAACAAAAAATAAACTCAGAAAACACGGTATCTTAATTATAATATATTGCACATATATCTTCACTGTACACTTTAGTTTCCATACAAGGCCAAAACGCGGAGCGCGCCGCTAAAATACATATCAAATGATTGTGTTAATCTCATCCTTGCAGTGGTTATGATGAAGACTGGTGGCGACTGTTAACATCAGTTTGATCTATTAACTGCCTGCACCTGGTTAGCTGCGTTGGTTGAGCGTTCACCTAGCCTTGAAGATGGTCCGGGATTGAATCCCGGACCAGACGGATTCCTTCAGCGGCCACGAGTTGGCTCTAGAGGGCGCGAGTTGCGCGTCATTTCAGGTAAAGGAAAATTCATTTCCGCGTAAATCTTCTCCACCTTGAAATTTTCCTTAAAAATCATTACATCAAGTGCACTTTAGAAGTATATTGATATAAAACTACGGATCATACACCTGATCCTGATTTATACTTTACGTATACCTTTTTGGTTTTCTTGAAAGTACAAAACTTGCATACTCGTAAAAAGTATTGCTTTTCACCAAGGGGCATGTATTCCCTTAGGGTGCTTGAATCACGGCGCCCTTGTCCACCAGCCAAACTCACCGGATTTGACGGAGCAGTGGATATGCGTCCTGGACTCGTAGTAGACCCAGTCGAAGCCGGCCTCGACGGCGAGCCTGGCCAGCATGCCGTACTTGGAGCGCTCCTTGTCGCTGGTGGTCAGGTCGACGGCCCGGCCCTCGTAGTGCAGCGAGCGCGCCGCGTGGTGACCCTCCTCGTCCCAGCCCTCGGTGACGCGCAGACGCACTCCGGGCCACTGGTTCATCACCGACACGGCCAGCGTGTTCAGCTTGTCCTTGCAGCGCTGCGCATGAGGCGGAGGACGCCGTCAGATGGCGCGCATGCGGGAAACCACTTAACGGTCTCATGCTCATATGTTTCAAAAACGTCTCCATTATCATCATCGGTCTTCAGAGAACATTCTAGACATAGGGCCCAGTTCTTCCGAACGCGGAGCGCAAGTTGGTCTGCTTGTTGCATGAGGGTTGCGAAGATAGAACGCCGAGCTCTCATTGGCGGACCGGAAAGAATAGTGGGTAGACCTCGAGGCATCTAGCTTTGAGGTCTATCCACTATCCCATCAATCAGAGCCAATCAGATCTTGGTGTCGTTTTGACGTCACCGCTACCCCTGCGCAAGAGGCAGACGACTTGCTCTCCGAATAAGAAACGTCATCTCTTTCAATATTCTCGCCAATGGGAGGAAATTCAAGCCTGCTAGAGGCCGACTTTAAAATAATAACAAAAAGTAGGGCGTTATTTTATTGATCTAAAATATCGTCTTCGACTGCCACTCGAGGGCGAATCATTCAAACAGGAACTTCGATCAAGGCCGTTAACTGGATTGCCGATTCCATAGCATTTGAGAATAAGGGACGAACTTGAACGAGACTTGGTGTTGGGTACTCAACGAAGGGCTAATTTATTTCTCCTTTGGCCTTGATTGGTTTGTGCTGTGGTGAACAGCTCGGTTGCACAGATAACAGTGGCAGCAAGGTTACATGGGGTTTACTTCCAGTTAGCCTCTGTTTTCCGTGTCTCTTGTTTGCGTCACAACGCGCATCGTTACCAGCGATAGCGATACTGTATAAATTAATAAGATAGAGCGGCGACATAAACGGGTTACACTATACATTAACATGGGACCGAGAAGCTACAGCGACATCTTTTGCGAACTCGTTGCTGATGCCTCATTTTCCTCCATATCGCGGATGTCTTTCTATTTTTCGTTTATTGCGAGCATTTAATTAAATAAAGACGCGCCTCATTCGTAGATGTAAGATGGCAAAACTCCTCCAATATTGCGGCTTCGAGTGGCATGATGATGGCAGCTGACCGAATTTTAGTATACAACATCATGCAACGTCCTATCTAGGGTCCTCGGACGTTCTGCTTTGTTTCCATACCTTCTACCTCGTGACAGCGAGGATAGGAAAAAATACGAGAGGTCAGCGCCGTTGTTCGACTGCAGGCCCTCGCCCGCTTTCTTGCGTTCGGTCATTGTTCGTCAGTGACAGCCGGTTCTAAATAAACAATTATCATAATACCTTCCGGCGCCGGTGGAGGGCGCTGCACGTTTTGCAACTGCTATATTGTGAGTGCGCGGTCCCCATCGGGCCGTCTACTTCCACAGCGAAATAGAACGGGCGGTGAATGTAACATTTCTCACATTTCCCCAATCGCATGCTGCGATTAGCCAAGCAGGTGACTCAACGACGAGACGACACTACGGTGATCAGCGCGAAGATTTCTGATCATAAGCAGGTAATTAATCGAAGCATATATTATATAACAAAGAAAAGCGACTGGCTTTCAGACAGATGAAAACGACTGCGCGGACATGCCGGGTGAGGATTATACCCTCAGCGTCTTGAACCGCAATATGTCCTTCCGCGGTTCGTGTTCCTCAGTGCAATTTCTGTCCGGCTAAGGAGGGTAAGAAAGAGAGAGAGGGAGAGACAGAAAAAGTTATCATCTGGCGCACTACTGTTTTGTGGCGCGCAACGATTCACGTGATGTCGGTGCTGCAGTCGAAGCACCGTTTCACGTTCAGAATGGGGCAAGCATTACACGGCACTATGTCCGTGCATTTACAGAGGTTCGGTTCGTTAAACATGCGCTTACATCAAATGATAGAACAAATAGCTCCGATGTCGCATGAGGCTGTGACGCTGCCTCGCGTCGTGCCGTTTTTTCTTATAGAGCAGAAATCTCCGCTGCGTTTCTTCGTGGAAGTGGCTGTATAGTTGTACATCTAGGCGCATTTGAAATGAGTTCTGCGCATTCCGGTTTCACGTGATGTTGAAACTAATCGCGCGCGTGAACATCGGGAGCGGGAAACTCTAGAATGGAGTGAGCGCGCTGTCTGCGTCCGGGCCAATCGGGTGCCGGGGCTCGGCCAACAACGGCAACCGGTTGCCCTTGTTGACGAGGCCGGCCGTTCCGCGGACGAGCGCCGCCTTGATCGATAGGCGAGCCCGGACATTAGAAGAGCCGACCGCAAGCGGAGCCCATTTCTTTCCGCGCTGGAATGCCGCCAGACGTTTCGTGCGACGGACCCGGTGCACGTGGGAACGGAGGACAAAAACCTGCCCTGGACAGGCGAGGCGAGAATGCGCGAGATCGCTGACTGACTTCCAGGCTGCAGCGGCTCCCAGCAGGTGCTGTATGAGTACCGAAAGCTTAAGGGGGTACTCTCCGGCATTTTCATCACAGTCCCCGATCTGCCTGAAAATATGCTAAATACACGCGAACAAGCATCGCTGCAATAGTAACCCAAATATTTCTTCAAAATAAGTTTTTTTTTGGCGAAGTCGTTGAGTTTACAATTTTGGTCCTCACCGGGTTTTTCGTCAATGTGGAAGTCTCTACTGCTCTACTGGCAGCAATGGCAAAGTGACGTCAGGGGAAGGCGGGGGTTCACTCTTTGAACTGTAGAATTTGTTCCCGACCGATTGCAAGCAGTTTCAGTGTGACATGAGTGCTTTGGAAGTTCCAGCACCCGCTCAGCAGCACAAAACAAATGCTCGGCATAGGCCATTTCTATAGAGGGCCCGCTCGACCTGCAAGCCTGCCTTCCCCTGACGTCATGGCACTGAAAAGCGCGAATATATTTGAATGTTATTTTCGGTATCATTTTCACTTGCCAAATTTGCATTAACTATTTTGAATTTTTCTATTACTAAATAGCATATCAGAAAGGGTAAAGGCAGGTGATTCCAAAAATATAGGTAATTGGGATAGCCCAAAAAATTGCGGACCCTCCAATTTTGCTTTAAATTTTTGCCCGACGATTTAATATGATGTTAGGAGACTACCCAATAAATATTCTTTTTAGAGTCACGTACATTCTTTATAAAGCAAAAAAAAAAAACGGTTGGAAACCGAAGCAGGAGCACTGAAGCTCATGGCCGCGACATCTGGACGATGTGTACCGAGGAGGAGGGAGAAAGATAGAGGTGAATAGACTTTCCGGAAGTCACGTGGCTACAGCCGATTACGTTTTTTTTTTCTTCTCCACTTTTCCGGTGTGTGTAGCAAACGACAATGACGTAGAAGTTGCATGCACCGTTTTTCGTGCAATTGTTTCGCACTTATATCCCTTCCGGTTGATGTTCTCCGCTTGAACATCGATTGCCCGGTACCACGAACGACAGTTCCGAAGTAGCGGCCCTTCGCCCATCGCAACGATGGTCCGTTGGGCTGCGCCATCGTGTCGACCAGCCGTCCCTATATCGAGAATAACGTAGTAAATTTTCATTTCATTCCATTTATTTTTTCTCAGGGCACGAAGGCATTACAGAGAGGGGTGAGTTTTGATAAAAAATATGGGAGTATATCAACGAACAATGCAAAAACACAAACAGTGACTGAGAAAAAAAAGAAAAATTAGGAATCGTAATTTTAAAATCAGCAGCATCAGGTATTGAGACTATGGGCGCGGGAAGACAATTCTAATCTATCAACGTTCGGGGGAGGGGGGGGGGGGGGGGGAGGCGACGGCATTAAATAAGGTGTTACAATGAGGGATGCCTACATTTAACTGCTGATTTCTTTATGATATATAAGATGGTTCTATCAACAATGTTTAACGAAATTTTTGATTAGAGTGATAAATCTTGTGAAAAAGACATAAAGGAGAAAATGTTTTACGAAGGGAGAGTTTGGTAAGGGTACAGATGCTTTCATAGAGGTGACTATGGCTCTGCGATGATAGTTTGAAAGAATGAAACGAGGGGAACGATTCTGACTGGCCTCTCAACGGCAGATGCACGGGTGAAACCGGGGTCCCAGATAGGGGAAGCATATCCCAGTTTAGAGCGAACTAGTTTCGTATAAAAGAAGCTTTGGAGACACAGGAGCTAGCGAAAAGTTTCTTCTGAAATAGCCTAGCAATTGATTGGTGCTTTTAGCGACATGATCGACATGGATATTCCAGGAGTGGTTATTGGCTAGATGAACACCAAGATATTTATATGGACGAAGCGGAAAGCAGAATTGAATTATTGGTGTAGTAAAAAGGTCATGAGTTATTTTGAGAGGACACTTTCATAGATATCCATTTAGAAACGTTAAGTTTCATGAGCCAATCTGCACACCAATGAGTTACATAATTAATAGCAGTTTGAAGGAAGCAGATGTCACAATCGTTAAGAATTTCTTAATAAATAACACAATCGTCAGCATACAGGCTTATGATAGATGAGACACATGCAGGAAGGTCGTTAATATAAATAAGAAATAGGAGTGGGTCGAGTACGGAACCTTTTGGGACACCGGAGCTAACGTGTGAGGTTGATGAACTGGTTCCGTTAGCCTGAACAATTGGGTGCGGTTTGTTAGAAATGATTCTATCCAATCGAGTAAAATATAATATATGTTTAGGTTATGAAGTTCATGAAGAAGAAGCACGTGAGGAACCTTGTCAAAAGCTTTATAAAAAATCTCAAAAATATGCAGTCAGTCCAGGAAGCCCGGTCCAGAGTGGCGCGAAGGTCGCGAGTAAAAGTTAGAAGTTGGGTTTGACATAACTAATATTTACGAAAGCCGTCCTGTGCAGAGGTGAAAAAAAGGTATGAATCCAAAAAGCTAATAAGATTGGAACAAATGATATGTTTAAGGATTTTGCACGGAATGAAAATTTAAAGGATTATGTTCATCACCGCCTCTGTGCAGAGGAATCGCCTTCCCCACTTTCCAGTTTCTTGGTAGTATATGTTGTTGAAGGGACTGGGTAAATAGCTTCGATAAGATAATAATAGAGTACATTTGAGTACTCTTCAATTACTTGGCATTACTTTTA